GAAGAAAGGAGCCCTGAATGCCCTTTTGGTTTGGTGGCGAACAGTATTCTTGCTGTATAACATTAACTTGTAGATATAAGATTCTTATCTAATTCAAGTTAATGAGACTTTCGCAGGCTGGGCCGGATGACAGTCTAAAGGATGTTGCTTTGAAGATTCTGCAAAATGGTGTGGCCACTGTTCCCATCCTTTATTCGTCTTCACCAGATGCCTCAAACCCACATCTCTTGCATCTTGCTTCACTTTCTGGGATATTAAAATGTGAGTATTATGTTTAATATGTGTATATCAGAGTTCAGTTCAAAAAGTATCCTTGAAGTTTGGGTCCATCACAACAAAACAACATCGATCATTTGAAATATGAGTACCCGCATGTTATTTGTTCCTGTTTTGCAAATTGAATGTCCAATTGGGAGGAGGGGAGACAATGCAAACCTTGTACGGTGTGTTTGTGTGTGTGTACTCTTCTTTCCACGAAGACCACATTACAATTTTTTATGCCACAAAAGATAGGTTTGTTACTTTACATACAAGTATTATCGTGTTAAGTTCCATTGGTTCTCTTACTAAATTATACGACAACCAATAGAATTGGATTATTCAATTTCATAATGATTTAGTTTAGAGGTATATCTGAAAAATACATCTACCTTTTACTTTCCCAGTAACAATGATTCTATTTTCTTACTTTGAAAATCGTCACACGTCTTATTATGGGACGGAGGGACTATATAATCATGCAAGTGTGTAATTGTGAAAGATGATTGGGTGGCTTGCCCTGGGAACACTTTCATGTGGGCTTTACTGAATATGGGGAATAGAGATTAGTACTTGTGTTCATAACTAACATTTTTAGTTGCTTCACAGGTATTTGTCGGTTCTTTAAGCATTCCCCGAGCTCATTGCCAATACTTCAGTTGCCAATCTATGCAATTCCGTTGGGGACGTGGGTTCCGAAAATTGGGGAGGCAAATCGACAGCCACTGGCAATGTTGAGACCAAGTTCTTCGCTTAGTGCCGCTCTAAATTTATTAATCCAAGGTATCCAGGTTTACTCCGAACTGGAGTGCACTTCGAAGCCCTTCTAGCTTATTCTCAAGAAACAAATTTATCTAGTTTTATGCAAATACTTATATTTACAACAGCTCCTAACCCAAATTCTTTTTTTCTGCTCGAGTTCCAAAAGGTTCTCAAATGGTAAATGAGGAAGTTTTACTTTTAGATTATATATTTTGTCTTGAAAATGATCCGTATTCAAATTGGTGGCGGTTGAAGTGATTTTTGCTGCACGAGGCTATGTTTTTAATTTATAAGAACTGGTTTCCTGTAATTGTAATAGCCGACAAAACGGTCAATTTCACTTCCTTTATCAGTGTGAAAGAGCTTGTTCTGTTGATTTGGTGGCTGTGGACATGATATATCATATAAATCGAATTCCGATGGTTTTTCAACTGTAGATTGTGTCGATTCTGCAAAATAGTTTTCTGCAAAAAAGAGAATTATTTCAAATTCTTCGTTATATATGCATAATTTTTTACGAAGTATTTGACATAACTAATCCCTAGTCATCTCATTATTACATAAATGTTTTAATTCGCAGCACAAGTTAGTTCAATCCCGATTGTTGATGATAACGACTCCTTGTTGGATGTTTATTCTCGGAGGTTAGTAATATGCTGTTACCTGTGCCACGGCATTTTCGTTCTTTTTCTCTTCTTACATTCTGGAGTTACAGTCATGTGAATCTTTGCTTTTCTTTTGTTCGAACATTTTCATTTGTTTTTGGCAGTGACATAACTGCTCTGGCTAAAGACAAAATCTATGCGCATATTAATCTTGACGAAACAACTATTCATCAGGTAAGCACACTTATTTTGTTAGCGTGTATTCTATATATGCATAACTCATTCTAGAATATTTCGTCTTTGCGTATTGAAGGCACTTCCATAAATGTGAAGGAGGGTTATTTACTTTTTAACATTTAAAATGCATAACTCGTTCTACAATATTTATCTTGCATATTGGAGGAATGTGCGGGAGGTTATTAATTCTAACATTTAATATTGAAAACAAATACTATCTTTCAGCTTTCTCCTTCAGTATTCCTTATTTGTTTTGTCTATTTTAAAAAATTATAGGCATTGCAGTACAGGGATGACCCATTTTCACCATACGGGTCCAATACCCAGAGATGTTTCATGTGCTTGCGTTCTGATCCTCTACATAAGGTTCTGGAGAGATTATCTCAACCAGGTCATTTTTTTTTTCTTTTTCGTTTACAATGCCTTCCATAAAATGCATTTAGGTCAATCTTACATATAATTTTTTTTTCTTAAAAGTCCTGTACAAGTGATCCTCTTTATTTATGTACCTCATTTTTATATTTTTTTATCCTTTTTTATTCTTCAGGGGTGAGAAGGATTGTTGTTGTTGAAGCTGGAAGTAAACATGTTGAAGGAATCATTTCATTAGGCGATGTTTTCCGGTTTCTCATGGGTAGTTAATCGACCCCAAGATTGAGACGGTATCTGATTATTAAGTTAATTGGCTGATAAAAGATGCTGTATGTGGGTTTTAGGGATTTTCCGGAACCTCTTGTTGGTCTCCTTTGAAGGTGCCATTAATTTCTTTCTTGTAGGATTTCATTTTTGTGAAAAGAACTACAGATCTGAAGAATGATTATGGCTTTTTAATTTGCTACTGAAAGTGGGGGAAAAGTGAAAGAAAAAAGAAGAGGAAAAAGTATGGGGATGGGAATTGAATGATTGATTCATCATAATCTTATTATTATTGTATAATAATTCTTGGCATTGCTTTTGTTCTATAACAAATCATAATTCGTAAGGGTGGTTTCTAAACTCTTTCTAAAACAGATGAGTTCAATAAGCGAGTGGGGAAATTTTTCTAAATGGACAGTTTTTCCTAAAAAAATGTACCGAGATATTTTATACCTGGGAGGGTTGAACTTTTGAAGTAGTTTACTTGCAAAATAAGTTACAAATTTTACATGAATTGTAATTTAAGCACAACTTTTCATTTTTGGCAACCTTTCTACAAGTTAAATACTGTATAAAAGAGTTTGGTTTTGCTATGAAGCCAACTTTTTATATACAACAAATAAATCTATCATATTAATAAAATTATATTAGTGTTATTTAAGTAATCAAAGAATATGGTAGGTTTATTTGTTGTATATAGAAGGTTGACTCCACTATGGAGCCAACTGTTGGCTTCTTAGCAAAACCGTAAAAGAAAAATGAGATAAGAATTGATCTCGAAGAATTAATTGCATCAATTTTCTATGGAGCGAACAATTGGAGCCAACTTTCAGTTTCATGTTCTATAGTTGGTTATAAAATACAATTATAATTTTTAATTGGTACATTTTATTCGCAATGTATAGAAAGTTGATTCTACTATATAGTCAAACTATCGGGCCCTGGCGGCACAGGGGCCTGGCGGAGTTCAACGGTTGGATGCTCCTCCCTCAGGTGCGAGGACTTGGCTTGCTCATAATGTGGTCGGTGTGTCGTACCCCAAGAATATGTTGGTATCGTCATAATTAGGCTTGACCTCCATTTATTCTTGTACCAAAAAAAAAAAAAAAGAACTATCGGGTAATTGCAAATACCTACATACATGTTGAGAAGAAGATACGGAGGCGAAGAAGATACGGAGGCATAGTTGCTAGAAAAAGACTATTTTATATTTTTGCACATAATCAAATTTTTTCAACTGACAACTACACGACTTTGTATTTTCGTTAACGTGAGATGGCATGTTATCATTTTCTATCCACGGTGAGATGACATGTCAACATTGCTGACCCATTTTGTCGCCCCCATGATGTATTTGCAAAAAGAAAAAGGGTATTATTATTTACTGCCCCCTATTACTAATCACTGCCCTCTTTGGATGATTTTTTCCTTCTCATTTTTTCTAAAATCTCAGAGCAAAGTGTACCAGGCGATTTCCAGCAAAATGTCGTCTTCTTCCGAGGTATTTTTTTCGCCGTCCAGCCGTCGATTGCGTACGGGACCGGCCCATCCGACCGCCGAAATCGGACGGTCCAAAAGGCGTCCGGCCGGTCGGTTCGGACGCCTTTACGTTCGGTCGCGATTTATGTCCGGTCGGACGGGCGTTGCACGAACCGGCCGGCCGGACGAACCGTTTTTGTCCGGCGGCGACGACCGATCGTGACCGGTCCGTCCTGTTCGACCGGCAGCACGATTTTTTTTTTTTGAAAAAATATTATTATTAAATTATTATGCTATATATTAAAAATAATTATGTTATAAATTGGACGTTAGATATTATCGTGTTAGGAGTTAGAAATTATTATGTTACATATTAGACTTGATTATGCTATAAATTGGACGTTAGATATTATCGTGTTAGGAGTTAGAAATTACTATGTTACATGTTAGACTTGATTATGCTATAAATTAGACGTTAGATATTATCATGTTAGGAGTTAGAAATTACTATGTTACATGTTAGACTTGATTATGCTATAAATTAGACGTTAGATATTATCGTGTTAGGAGTTAGAAATTACTATGTTACATGTTAGACTTAATTATGTTATAAATTGGACGTTAGATATTATCGTGTTAGGAGTTACAAATTATTATGTTACATGTTAGACTTGGTTATGTTATAAATTGGACGTTAGATACTATTGTGTTAGGAGTTACAAATTATTGTGTTACATGTTAGACTTGATTATGTTATAAATTAGACGTTAGATATTATCGTGTTAGGAGTTACAAATTATTATGTTACATGTTAGACTTGATTATTGTATAAATTGGACGTTAGATATTATCGTGTTATGAGTTACAAATTATTATGTTACATGTTAGAATTAATTATCTTTGATGCAGAGGATAGTGCTGCAATTCTCAAAATCACCTCCATTCATCCACACAGGCAGGACACAATTTACTAAGGCTTAGACAAGAAAGACACTTTTTCAGTCTCAAGCACTTATGCTCATCTCAATGCACTTAGGCTTCTTGCTATTGACTTACCAGAATTCAGTTCAAATTCAGAAACCAAATCCTCTATCAAATTCAGACATTGGAAGATCAAAGTTGCTGGTAAAGTCAAACATTTCATATGGAAATGCATCACAGGTTCTCTTCCTGTTGCTACTCAGCTGAAAAAAAAAAGAAGACTTGACTTGGATACAACATGCTCTATCTGTGGTGAAGCTGCTGAAACCATAAAGCATTTGTTCTTCTCATGTCCTAGAGCTAGAGGAGTGTGGCTGCTGAGTCCTTTGCAATGGGATGGCATCACAGGATTCACAGATTCATTCAAAGCTTGGTGGTATCAAGTATGCTCTCTGGACCATTTTGAAGTGGCTGAAGCAAGAACTCACCACATACATGCTCTGGTGGCTTTGGAAGTCAAGAAACTTATGGCTCTTCCAACAATCCTTAATCCCAGAGCAAACACTCATCAAGATGGCAACATCAGACTGGATGGAGTTCTCTTCAGTTTCTTAGCTTGTTTAGTTCCTTTTGCTTTGTTTTCTTCCTTTGCTGGTTTGTTTAAGTGAAGAGCTCCTTGCTAGGCCTTATGGTAGTGGCTGGAGTCTCTACACCTTGTTTTCTTTGTTTTTCTCTTGGTTTGGGTTATAGCTTATAGCTTGGTTAGACTGTTTGTGGCTTGTTGAGGCTCTAGACCGCTTCTAGCATGTCTCTCATTTTTATTTTCTTCGGATTTCTTTGGACCTTTGTATTCGAACTTTGTTCGCTTGAGATTTATAATAGTTACCCCTGTCGTTCTGAAAAAAAAAGAATTAATTATCTTATACATTAGAATGAAGATGTTATAATGTTAGAACTTAGAAATTATTATGTTATAGATTATAATTTAACATGTTTTAAAAATATACATATTGTACCATATTGCAGGAGTCATGAGAAGATTTTGAGGAGATGGTATTCATTACAGTAGAGGTTTTGATACCCATCATTATTTACTAGTGATGTGGAGGCTATTGAATCTGCAAGACAACAGACAATTCTGAATGGTTTCCAAATAATAATTTCAAAACACACAAAGAAAGGATGGGTCAAGGTTTTGAAGTGCCATAGAGGCGAACGCTATAGAGGCAAAGGCGGAAATTCTAGAAAGACAAAAACGAAAGCGTGCAATTGCCCTTTTGAAGTAAAAGTAAAAAAGGTGCCAGAATTGTCATACTGGATGATCCATATAAGTAGCAAGGAAGAGAAGGGCTTTCATAATCATTCCCTTGTTGTGTATCCTGAGGGTCATCGATAGTTTAGCGACCTCAGCGCTTCATCTAAGAATATTATTCGTGATATAACTGACGCTCAAGTGCCCCCAACAAAAATTTTGGCCGCGCTGTAGGAAAAAAATCCGGGAGACAACGTTAATCGGCGACAGGTATAATAAATATATGTGTATCTTTTAATATATTATATATATATATATATATATATATATTGTAATATAGGTTTTAATTAATTTTTTGAAGTAAAATTTTAAATTAATGCTAAGAATTAATTAAATTAATTTGAAATTAATTATAATAATTAGTAATTTTTTTTAATACCTAATAGTTATTGTAATATTATTAAATTTTATTATATTAGTAATGTATTATTATTATGATAGTTAATAATTTTTCTATCAAATAAATTAATTAATATACTTTTTTATTTATTAATATAATAATTTTTTTGTTTTGAATTATAATAATTATTATAATTAACGCTAATTGGTGACAGGTATATAACTTTAGAGGAAAGATGCGGAAAGAGTGTTTCGAGGGTAGAGACGTTCCTACCCAACTTATGCATTTGGCCACGAGAAGCAAGTACACAGCTTATGCAGAAGCCGATCCGGACACGAAAGCGTTGACGCATATATTCATGGCCCATCCTGCATCGGTCAATCTATTCCGGACATATTACTGGTATGTCGGCATAGATTCCACGTACAAAACCAACATGTATGTTACTTTATAAATACTTTATCAGTATGAATCTTAAATAGTATGTTTGATTAAGTTAAGTTTTATGTGATTATATTTTTTGTCTTCTTGGTCTCATTTGCACAGGTACAAGATGCCATTGGTCGAGATGATTGTGATGACGCCGTGCAACCAAAACTTCCTAATTGCGTATGCGCTCATCAGGGACGAGAAAGTGGCCATTTACAAGAAAGAGGTCAGTTACGACTGAGTTCTACATCAGTGATAGAGAGTTGGGTTTAATGACTCCTATTCAGAGGCACTTTCCGAAATCAACCCACTTACTCTGCACGTGGCACATCAACAAGGATGTGGAAGACAAAGCCTACAAACTCTTTGGGAAAAGTAAAAATTTCTCGCAGATGTTCACGCACAGTACGTGGATGGCGATTGCCGAGGCCAGTACGTTCGATGACTACAACGATGCCGTTGTTGAGATGCGCACAAAATATTTGAAGTCTCCACAGGTGGTACAATATGTGAAGA